AAAAAAAAAGAGGGAAAAGAAAAATCTGCATGGATAGTATTAGGATTAAAGAAAGAATTCTAGTGATGAATCCATGGAATATTATTGTGCAGGAACCAGAAGTACAGCCAACAGCGAGCTTATCAGTTATGGTTTCTGGGTATTTTGAAGATGGCGAGCCGCCATTGCTGCCCAGAAGCTCGAGCAAAAACATTATCAGTCATGGCGAAGAAGATGATGATGAAGATGAAGATAAACCAAGTGATTCTGTTGAAGATGAAAAGAGCTTTTGGGAGACCCAGCACCAGGTTTTGCAGGAAACCTTACGCAGAAGCAGTTCTTTGGAGTCGAGAATCAGAACCGCAACCAAAGACGCATTGAAGGAAATTCAGATGTCTGCAACGTCTTGTTCTTGTAGGAAGTCAACAGTTGCCGCTGCTTGCCGGAATTGTCTGATGAGAGAAGTTTCTACCCGTCTGAGAAACGCCAGGTACAATTGTGCAGTCTGTAAATCAAAATGGAGAAGCTCCCCAGATATTCCATCAGGTAAATTAACAAGACACACACATATATATACATATATATATATATGTATATGTATATAGTACCTGAAATTTGAAGTAGTATCAATGGAGAAACTAATGGAAATATATTATGTTCTGAAGGTGGGCATACGTTTTTGGATGTGGTGGAGAATTCAAGTGGGAGAAGGGGAGAAGTGAGGGTGATAATAGAGTTGAGCTTCAGGGCAGAGTTTGAGATGGCGAGAGCAAGTGAAGAATACAACCGGCTAGTTGATAGGCTGCCCGAAGTTTTCGTCGGAAAAGTTGACCGGCTGAAAAATGTGATAAAGGTATTGTGTTTGGCGGCTAAGAAATGCATGAAGGAGAAGAAAATGCACATGGGTCCTTGGAGAAAACACAGGTACATGCAAGCCAAGTGGCTAAGCAGTACATGTGAGAGAATTACAAGCAACACACAAGTTTTGGGGAGTAGTAATGGTATAATTTCTGGTGAGCGATTGCCAAAGCCAAGAGCTTCCATGTTAACTGTAGATTTGCTTGATAAGTTGCCCAACATGCATTGTACAGCTGTTGAGGTTGTATGATAATATATATATATATGTATATATGTATATTGAAAGGAAGCAATGCAGAACCGACTGGGTTTAGCTCAGATTGGTTCTTGGATGGCTTGTGTTCTAATCTTTACAACAGGCCCTTCAATGGCTAAAGAAAACAGGAAAAGAAAGTGAAACAGGCAGAAAGTTTTTGCAAAAGACAAGGAAACCCTAGATGGTACACTTTAACCATCCTTTTTCAATCAAATATGGGAGCATATTCACATCAACAAAGACAGGCCCAGAGAAGAAAAAATTAGGTTCTTGCAAACCTAGGTTCAAGACTTGTTTGTAATAAGAACAAATTCCTCTTCCACTCGTAACAGATAAAGAAACTATTAATTATCATATCATCCGATCAAATGTTCATTGGAGTGATAATCTAACAATGAAACCTCTGATCTTAATCCCCTTCAATGCACATCGATACTGAAATGGGTTCAAAAATCCCAAATGGTACATACTATAACATATACTACTAACTCCTAAGTACCCAATTTTAGAACAGAAACTAAGAAACAAATGAGAAGGCAATGGGAAGTTTTTGTACATCCCTAACTAGTTTCAAATGCAGACTAAAACACAATTTATATACACAAATATGGAATCTCACAAGGAGATTAGATTACCCAAGTTCCTTTTCTTCTGTTCTTGCTTCTTCCTTTCTCTCCGTTACCCTCTTACTTTTCCCGCATAACTCACTCTTTTTCTTCTGCCTCCAAGCTCAAAACTTAGAAAAAACAAGAAAGAATGAAGAAAACAAAACCAGACACTTTTTCCCTCAGCTCAAAAATCTTTCTCTCACTATCCATTGCTATTAACCCAGAATATCAAATAGAAGAAAGCGTCTTCCTTTTCCCCCCTCTCCTCAAACTCAGAAAAGGACCCTAGAAGCTTCCTTTCACTCCCTGTTTTCTCCATATACTCAATCAAAGCCATGAATAAGAGCATCCGGCTTCCATCCCGCACATTTGGCTTCTCCACCAGTAAAGATTCTCAGTTTGTTCTCCCTCACCCGCTGATTGCGCGAGCCACCATCTCCCTTTTCCCTCTTCATCCGTCAGCCTCGATCCTCTACTTTGCACTTACCATCTGCTTCCCCATCTCCTTCTCTGCTACGCGGTTTCAGTTTCTTCACGTGTTCCTGCCTTCATCACCATCGATCTTCAGCCTCGAGTCAATCCGATATCCTCTTTCCTGCCATTAGCAAATTTCTCGGGAGCAAAACTGGTGCATTTAGAGACACAGTAACGGCTGCGCAAATTGGATTTATGCTGAGCTGCAAGAAAAACTAACAAATGGGATTGGCTTAGACGAATTGGGTTGAGCTAAATAAAATTAAACGAACTGGGTTTTATACTTCAAATCGAATTGGGTTTTGCTTTGAAATGGTTTTAAAAAGAAAACGGACGAACTTTAGCTAGTTCTCTAATTGGGTTTGAGAATGTGAATGTAGTGGATTTTAGGGTTTGTAGTATGTTAGAGACATGGGCTTTCACATATGAATTTGAACTGTGTGGTTGTGGGTTTTATAATGGAAGTGGACAAGACTCAAGGATTTGAAGTAAAGATAATGTGTTTGACTGATTGGGGTCATACGTTTGGAAATATTTTGCTTAGTCCCACACATGAAAAAGAAGGTCAAAAATGGTAGGATCATTTATATATATATATATATATATATATACATACTATATGGAAATAATAGTATATTAGAAAAAAAAGGGTATTTTTGTATAATAAAAATAAGTAAATAATTAAAGAAATGTAATTTTAGGGGGGGAAAAAAAGATAGAAATCTGTGAATTATATATATATATATATATGTAAATAATATTTTTATACGTATATTTATACGATCATACGAGTAGTCACCCGGCACGGCAAAAGCGAGACGTATCCGTGCGAGCCGTACCAACCATAACCCTCTCCGCATTCATTCTCTCATTTATTCTCTTTGACAACGACACTCCGATTCTCTTACTTTCTATTTTTAATTCTTAATTAATTTTTATTCTTTTTTAAAATTTTAATTTAAAAATAATAATCTTAGTTAATTATTTTAATTATCAAATTAATTTAATTTAACTCAAATTAATTAAATATTTAATTAAAAAAACTTATCTCCTTAATTGACTTTTAAACGAGGTGGTCCCCATCATTCCACTAGACGTAGCCATCTCCTCCTTTGTGGGCCCCATCAACCCACAGCACCTCAGCAAAAAAATCGGGTCCACGGAATCTACGGTGCGTCCTCCGTATTCGATACGTATATTTTCCTCCTCCTCCTCTAATGAGAAAAAAAAAAAAAAAACAAACAAATCTGAGAAAAATTATTTTCTAAGAAAATTTATTTTTTCTCCCCTCCTTTCCTGTTCGTACACAACATGAAAAAGCCATCCTCAAGTTTCCTCTGGGAATAATGTCACTCTCTCTTCCTGGTAACTCATCTCGGATTCTCTTTATTCGATTGTGTGTGTATATTTAATGTTTTGTTATTTCTGTGTATTTATATATAAAATACATTTAATGTTTTGGTATTTTGTATTAGTATTAATTTAGGCACAATGATTATTGTGCTCCGGTGTTCGATGGGGGTTGTAATCATGGGTGTTTCTTTATATTCAAAATGAATGAGTATACTTCGTTTTTTGATGTGTTTATCTTTATTTTTCTTATTTTAATTATTTAATTTATTAATCATTAGGTGTGTGCGTGGGATTTTCCAGGCTTCTACGGAAGGTGGGATTTGACTTTGAGCCGAAGAAACTTTTGGCATTATTTTGAGGGCTAAGGGATTGGGTTGTGATCAAAGACTTGTTTATTTTTTCTTTTAATCCTTTTAATGGTTGTTTAAGGTGGATGGGTTTTGATGGATTTCAAGGCATTTTGGTTCTGATGGAGATGAGATTATACTCTTTCAGACTCTCATTTTTAACGGCTCTTCGTGGATGATTGGTTGGGAGGGACGAAACGTTTTGATTCCTAAATGGTAAGGTTTTAATGGGTTTACTGGTATTTATGTTATTGACTTCTGTATATAATATAGAGAAATACCAACTTGATTTCAAGCCGCCTTCTTCTCAGTTTCGGAGAGGAAGAAGATTGAGGAAGCTTTTCTCTTTCTGGGTCTGATAAGATCTTTTTTGGAGTTTCGATTATTTTGAAAATGGAGGAGGAGGCTAATTCTTGGATAAGGAGGACAAAGTTTTCTCATACAGTTTGTCATAGATTGGATTCAGCAAGGTTAGGGACTCTTGCTCTTCCGATTCAGCAAGAGAGGAACTCGGGGTTGAAAACCAGACCAGGAGCATCTTCCTCCAATTTGCAGAACCAGAAAAATCATGTTTTCTCCCAGATTCAGAGAAACCCTGTTACCAACAAACAGAGGTCTCTTTCTCCTGTTATTCAGTCTATTCTGTCTGATACTTTTAAGGAAGCAAGGTCTGATAGAAAGAGATTCTCAACTCCAATTCCCAAAAGGAGAGAATCCAACAAGGGAATCAAGGGAAAGTGGTCTTTTAAAGATACGGCAGACAACAAGTCTTCCCGTTCATCATCTCCATCGAATATAAGCCCGCTTAGGCACCTGGGTACGATGAAAATTCAAGAGAGAGTGAGGAGCAGAAAGGATTCAGCTTGGACCAAGTACTTTGACCATGGAGGAGGAAGGGTTAATGCTGTGGAGGCAGCTGATGATCACACTGTTGATCTCTCTAAGCTGTTTCTTGGCCTTAGGTTTGCACATGGAGCACATAGCCGGCTTTATCATGGGATATATAATGATGAGGCTGTTGCAGTCAAGCTTATTAGGGTACCTGATGATGATGAAAGTGGAACCTTAGCAGTTAGACTGGAGAAACAGTTCAACAGAGAAGTAACTCTTTTATCTCGACTCCACCATCGAAACGTAATAAAGGTACTCAATTTTCCATTCCTGTATTATTTTTTCCTGTGATGTGCAATCTATAGAAAATTTTCCTTATGGCTTATTAAGTTTTTATTCAGTTGATGGCTTAACTGCATTTGCTGTATTTTTTAACACTGAACATAATGCTTGAACATGGATAAAACTGGAGTCACAGAGAAATTTTCAGTTTCTGGCATCTAAATTTGCCTTGTTACTGGTATATGACAGTTTGTAGCAGCATGTAAAAAGCCTCCAGTTTATTGTATCATCACAGAGTATTTATCGGAGGGTTCCTTGCGGGCTTACTTGCACAAGCTAGAGCATAAGTCTCTTCCATTGCAAAAATTAATTACAGTTGCTCTGGATATTGCTCGTGGAATGGAGTTCATTCATTCTCAAGGTGTCATTCATCGGGATCTAAAGCCTGAAAATGTTCTTATTGGTGAAGACTTCCACCTGAAAGTAGCAGACTTTGGTATAGCATGTGAAGAGGCCTACTGTGATTCATTGGCCGATGACCCAGGTACTTATCGTTGGATGGCACCTGAGATGATCAAGCGTAAAACATATGGACGAAAGGTTGATGTTTACAGCTTTGGACTGGTTTTATGGGAAATGGTAGCTGGATCCATACCATATGAGGACATGAATCCCATCCAAGCTGCTTTTGCAGTAGTGAACAAGGTAGTTTTCCTAAAACTCTTCTCTGTGCTGTTAAGTTTGTGCACACTTAAGTTGCTCCTTACTGTTAACTCACTTTCCTATCTGAATTAAGTATTTGGCTCTTTTCTTTGGTCCACGTCCTCTGCGGGGAAGGAAAACAAATATTTTTCCCTTTCATCTTGCAACTTGGTTTTTCGCTTTCTTTATATAGATTTTGGCCCTATTAAATGAAGAACGTGAATTCAGTTAGCAAATTTCAGGAAGTTTCTTAAATGTTTACAACTTTGATGATAGGAGCAGAACATCAAGTGGAACTACCAGCTGACATGATTAATGATCTATTTATGCTCTCTTAGTCTATTATCAATTTTTAATATTGCTAGGTATTTGGTTGTCATGGTGATGAAATGGTATTGTTAGACGCAGATTATCCTTACTATGATGTTTAATCTCACTGAGTCCGTGATGAGAGCTCACAGTTGAAAATATAAATAGAACGCTAAAAATCAATACATCCTGATAGAAATAAGTCACTGCTTGTTTGATGAAATAAATAGAAATAACTGTTTGTTTCTCACAACGTAATCCTTTATTCCTGTTTCTCCGTCACTTGGGCTAATTGGGAAAGTGGTTGCTATCGTATATAGTCAATTTGGCAGATGTAGTTACTTTGTTTTCTTCCTATTATTTTAGGCATTGTGGTTTCTGGCACTTTGGCTTCTTTCATACTTTACTATGAAACTAATTAGGTAGTAATTTTTAAAATTAGAAAGTTTTGATTTTTCTTTTCAGAATTTAAGACCTGCTATACCAGTGGGCTGTCCGTCTGCTATGCGAGCTTTAATTGAGCAGTGTTGGTCCTTGCAACCAGACAAGAGGCCTGAGTTTTGGCAGATAGTGAAAGTATTAGAGCAATTTGAATCTTCACTTGCTCGTGATGGGACCTTGAATCTGGTTCAAAATCTCTCCCATGATCATAAGAAAGGGCTTCTCCATTGGATTCAAAGCTTGGCCCTACGCATCCATCTAGTTCCCCTATGCCTAAACCTAAGTTCACATGAATCTTCTTTATGACCTGGCTTTTGTAGTGTTTGCAGGTCAGTTGTAATTAAAAAGGTTCGTTTTTTTAATCTTCTTTATTCATACTCTATGTTACATTCATTTGAAAGTTAATTAATAGATTGGTAGGCGTGCTTTGAGATAAAAATGCTATTCTTTTTAATGTTAAAAACATGCAAGAAATCATCAAGTTAGGATATTCTAGATATTAAGAAGTTGAACGGTAGAAAAGGCATTTGAGGGCAATGTTTTCAGATGGCTCTCTTTCCGGTAGATTATATATATATATATATATTATGCTCCAATTCCTAATTTCTGCAAAACGTGCTCCAATTTGTGTTTTCTGTGTACTTATGACTCTGAGTCACCTCTTTCCCATTTAAGAATTACTACTCTGTATCTTGTGTTCCTGATTCATCCTTCTGAATTTTACTAATTTATCTTGTCATAGTTAAGTTTCTTTCCTATAAAGAATAGAGAAAAGACAGCCATTCTACCAGCTGCACATGGTAAGAAAACAGGTTTTTGCTGGTTAGCAAATATGTGCAGCACAAAATTTACTCTCCTGAATGTTTACTGCTGGTTTTTACTTTGAGGATATATGCCTGGATTTCAACGGAAGTGAATTCTTTTATTTGTCAGAGTTGATTGTATTTCACATGATATTTTTGGACTCTTGAACTCTGAAGCTTGCATGAGCAATTCATAATTATCACACGTTGCGTGCTGTTTGTAATTTAGCTCCCCCCTCTGTTTACGCCACGTTTGTCTGGAACCACAGGCATATTGTGAAACTAGCTTACCTTTCCACTTGCTCCTCTTCCAATATGCATACATTGATACTGCATTTTTTCTTTTTCTTTTTTGTTTTTTTACCAACTTGTTTTTCTTCTGACCATCTCCCATACCTTATTTCATACCTACATGCTTCTGCCTTGATTATCATGTGCACCCATACATCCTTGTCCGTGTCCTGGTGGCGTCTGCATTCATGCAATTCTGTTATTTTCGCTGATTGATTTGAACTTGAAATTGAAAAGTATCTAGACAAGCCGCAAGGAAAACGTGAAGGTGATCGATATCTGTTATGTAACCTTGTTTATTACTTAAAGATGCAAATGGGTATTATAGGAGCCTATACAAACATGGAAGAAAATTCAAAATGCCATGGCTGCTTGCTTTACCCCATTAGTGGCAAGTAACGATGTCTCTGCAACTAGTCGTTAGGCTGCCTGGTTTTTCTTCTGTCAAGATCATCTCTTCACAGTCAAAAGTATCTTCGTAACATTTATTGCTCCTACTGGTGTTGTTAAAATGCATTTAAACTAAATATTTATGGCACACACCTATCATCAGTCTTGACTAGTAATCATGCTGGTCATTTTTGCCTGTTTTCTTTTTATCCTTCTCTTTACCTTTTTTGCTGGGTTGGTTTTATTTTTTTTTTACCCCTGGACCTCTGAAGCAAAATTCCTTTGAAGAATTGATCTTTAGCACTGATTTCAAATCAAATAAAGATTTTTACAGTCAGGAGTTACCATCAGTTTGAATATTCAGTTCATCTTGGGTTAAAATTCAATCTGAAAGCAAAGATTTTTGTATACTACATCCATGTTGGTGCTTTCGATATGGGATTGTTGTTTAGTAGATTTATATTGCAAATTGCTTGCTCCACTCTTTTTGTTGGGTGTTTTTCATGTTTTTGGGAGAAAGATTTATAATATTATTCATGGATTAGGTGGAGAAGGTAAGAACGCTCTGCAGGTTCAATGCATAACCATCATCATAACCAGGAAAGAGCGCAAATTAAAATTGTGGCCCTCTTTCATAAAGTTATATATAGATATTGTGTGTGTGTGTGTGTGTGTGTGTATATATATATATATATATATATATATATGCATATGTCAATGTATGACTTGTGGGGTATCATTGTCAGGGATGCCAACTTTGACTTTTCAATTTGTGCCCCTAACATTATTTCTGCTTTGTCTGGGTGTCAAATTAGGGGTGTGTAGGATGATCACCTTTCGCTTAGCAACAGTTTCAATAATAATTGGGGATATAATTTTACCAGTGGAATTTTGTTATATATTTTATATGTATATAAATTTTATAATTACTATATAAAAAGATATATATATATTTAATTTAAAGGTTAATTATTTGGATTTGATTAAAACGGTAAATTTAAGTAGAAAATATTGGTTCTACTTATTATAATTCTTTTATTTATTTTAAATATGTAGTTTTAAGTGTTTTGCTTAATTACCTAATTATTACCATTAATTTCACTCCCAAATGACATGTTACGTGAATAGAATACTATAGTAAATATAAAATAAATATTTTTATTTTAATATTATTTTAGTTTAAAATGTCACACGTCATTTGTTTATGTTTGTAAATATAATATACTATTATTAGAAAATTTAATACTATTAATTAAATTGTTAAAGAAAAACTTTAATATGTTTATGAAATCTTATAAAATTGCAAGTTGAAATTAAGAAGTCCCAAAACATAAACTATTTCTAATTAAATAATTAATACGTTTTTTTTTTCATAAAAAATTATATATTTAGGTTGAACTGTATTTTATACATATTTTTATTTAAAAATTATTTTTATTATATAGTCCTCTAAATAAAGGTGCTAAAAGTAGGTGAAGAAATTGTAAAATAGTTTTTAGCATAACTTAATTGTTACCGATTATTTTATTCACGTGTATATAATTTAATACATAAATAATAATGTCTTGAGCGAATATATATATATATATATATATATAATGTTTAGGGTATATTTAGTGTAAATTAATTCTATTTGCGAAATTTATAAAAAAAATTATGTACTTTTAAAGAATATTGTAAAAACTCGAAATTTAAAAGAAAATAAAGTTATGAATTAAATACGGAAGCGAATTAATATAATTTAGGGTTTATATTTCTCACAAAATAATTTAAAATACCCAATAGGAATAGAAGAATATCTATTTTAAAAAAATTACGAAAATTAATAACTAAGTATTTTAGAACGACTTTCACTAATTTTTAAAGGGAGTCTGAGTGGTGAACTATTCACAACTCTCTTGTTGATCGAAATTTCAGTCTTGATCATCTTAATATGAAATAGTTAATGAAATGGTGAGCTACACTAATCCAGTAAGAATATCATACTATTCACTGATATAGAAATTAAAGATTGGTGAAAATTATAAAAACAATCAATGGAGCTTTTGATTTAAGTAAATTTATTTATCATAAGGAAAAATATTTATTGCATATATTTACCGTTGCGAATTTTTCAAAATTGACTTATAGAAACAATAACTCAAATAACATTCAAACCTCATCTTCAATTGAGCAAGAATAATAATTTTTCTTTTTTATTTGCCTACTGGTGTTCCTGGAAGCCTATAGGAATGTCCCACTACGCGTGAACTCATATTCAACATTATCAACAAACCGACCGTCCTCATACTCTGTCTAGTATGAGCGTTAAAAATATCATCCCTCAATACCCCGTCCGGTATGAGGGTAAATTGGACCGTCCCTATATCTCGTTCGGTATAAGCACTAAAAATATCATTCCTCGATACCCCAGTCGGTATGAGACAACGTTCACGGTAGAGTTCACTATATACCTGGTCCGTCCACCATCTCCCAAGATATCCAGTAAGGCTACCATTCATTAATTCACATTACCAAACAATTTTTCGTTTGCATATTAGTTACCAATTTCACAAATCAATCATAAATCACGCAAGACAAGTAATATAAAATTGTAAATTCAACAATCAGTTAAACAGAACAACAAATAAATGACTAACCGGTTTTCGACTCCATTGGTAATCTGTAATTATTCTCAAAGTTTTCTAAATTACACAAAATATCATATTACCGATTATTAAGTTTCAATTCCATAACATAGAATAAGGTAGGAGATTCTTACCCGAATCGGTGTCTGAAGTACTAAACTTTCTACTACGCCTACTGGTGGTCTCCGGGTTTCTTGAATTTTTTTGCAAAGATTAAAATACACTTCACGTACCTAAAAATACTCTAAAAAATCCAAAATCGGCGTTAAAAATATTTTTTGGTCAATTTTGAAATTCTAGCACGGCGGCATCGCCGTGCTCAAGTGATGACGGGCGGTGATTTAGCTCGGCTTGACTAGTTTTGGCCAGTTTTGTACCCATTCATGCGAGAAAATACGTTAGGGGGTTTCAATTGGCCGAAAAAAAATTAAAAAATGAAAACCTATTGGCAGCGAAATTTTTCGGTGTGGTGGCTCCGCCAATTTTGGTCAACTTATACAAAACAGAACAATGAGCACAATGGTGAAAAAATCGCATGAAATGGAAAACGGGAAGGGGCTCATTGGAGGCGGTCTCGAGTTTTGCCCGCGATGGTGCCGCGGGGCTTCGCCCGCAGTTTCTGTCTCATCTGCCATTCTTTTTTCTTTAATTTAGTCATAAGGGTGCTCAGAATCAAATTCCGAGCGGATAGGAGAATTTTTACATTTTTTGGCGGTCGGAGGTGGCTCCAGCGCGGCGGCGGGCAGCTCACTTCTCCGGCGACTGGTTCTTCTTCTCTAGTGGGAGGCTGGCGGCTAGGGTTTGAGTTCGGTATTATGCGAGATATTTATCCACGTCTCGTTTTAATCTGGACCGTTCATCGCGTTTGATCTCGATTATCCGATAATGTTTTAAGAATAAATGAATCTGAACCGTTCATTGCAATTTGATCTCGACCATCCGATCGCGTTTAAAGAGGAAATGAATCTAAACCGTTCATTGCGTTTAATCACGACCGTCTTATCGCCCATGAGGAGGTAACGGATCCGGATTGTCCACGCGCGTGGGAACACTTCTGAATCGTCCGATCGCAAGCACGTGGATTACCAGCGTGACCTCTCACGTGGCATCGAGTCAGCGTGCCTTGCCACGCGGCGCACTTCGGTTCATCGAGACTGCTGACTGGACGGTCCTACACGGCACAATATTTTTTTAATTACCTTTTGACCCCTAATTTTTGATTTTTATTTTAAAAATACCATCTGAACCCAAATTTTCACATATTTTCTCAAAATTATTTTCAGTTTCATTGTCAACCAAATCTAATTTCACGTTCAACGAAATTTATTCATTTTAAAATTTAAAATTAATCCCGGATAAAATTTCAGATTCAGGTATTACAAATACGATAATTTTAAAATGATAAAAACTCATATTATAGATAATTATACTTAATTAGAATATTAATTTTTATATAACATTTGCATCATAAAAATAACAATAGATTTTAAAATTTGGAAACATTATTTTACTGTCTTTTACAAAACTTGTTTTGAATTTCTAATTAATTATTCTAAAACAATACAACTTACATGCTCTTATAAATAAAAACATATATAAAATATATATTAATTTTAAAAAATAAAAAGTAAATAATATTTCATGCATTGACCGAAAGACACTTTAAGTGGGTGCTGGTGCTGCTGCTGCTGGTGAGCCTCCGGTAAAGTTGGTTTCTTTAAATGGAAAGAAATAAATATTTAATGTTATATGTTTATAATTTATTATATATTTTTTTATTGAATATTATGCTGAAATATTATTTTAAATTATATTTTAATTTTTTTAGTATTTAAAATTTTTTAATTAAAAAATATTTAAATATTCTATGGGTTTATTTGGTAAAGATTGATAAGGACCAATTCACTATAAAAAATTTGAAGTCATGACTTTTGGAAGAAAGAAGACAAAAATAAGGTTGATAAAATGGCAATGCTTGAAGAATCTTAAAAGTTAATTACTTTACTAATTTTAATTAATTAACAACCAATATTAATTAATTAGCAATATCATTTGAAAAAAACTATAATTTTAGGAACAAATTAGGTATGATTTAATTTCTGATTTGATAAAATATAGGTTAAGAAATATAATCAAATAATATTAGAATAAGTTAGATTAATTAAATGCAATTGAAAATAGTAAATTAAGTATGACTGGACAAAACAAAATATTAGGTCCTTGGTGCAAATATAGCTCCCTCCATATATTGTAATCGTATATATACATATATATATATATATATAATATGTTTGCATGCATCTACATTATAAAGAATACCCAGAAGAAAAATAATATATATATATCTTAAATCTAATTGATCATAAGTACAAAATTTTAATTTTCATGGAAATCAGTACACTAATATTTATATGGTCCCCCTCTCTGCCCATTGCAACAATGAAATATTTATATATATATATATGCAGTGTGCATGTGTCTCTATCTGCATATATATATAATAGTACTCTATATAAATATGTAGAGGACACAACTTTAATAGGGAAGAGCCTCCATATCCTAATCTCACTTTAAGGCAGCAATTCTCGTCCACTCAAAACTGGTTTCAGGAACTGAGATGCGGTATAAAAGAGAGATATAGCAAGAGGTTGCTTTACATGTGTACACATATATATATATATATTACTCTTTCTTTATTTCCTTTGCTTTGCTTTACATATATATACATATATATTTATATTACTCTTTCTTTATTTCGTTTGCTTCTCCATTGCTAACATAAAAAGACTTTATGTTAAAAGTTTAAAATACAAAATATTAGAAAGATATATATTTTAATTGGTGCACGTTATAGAATTACATGCAGATACAAGAATACAGATATATATATATATATATATATATATACACACAATGTAATTTGGTTTTGTTGTTGAATGTTGCAGTGGGGTTCCTCAGGTCAAAGGTTTCACACAAATTTGTGGGAAAACAAAAAGGTTTCACACGAAAAAATTCCAGAAACTACAAAATATCATGGAAACACAAGGTGATAAATAGTTGAATTAATGTCATAATTGATTTCTACATTATATGTGCCGAAATTTCTACAGTTCCTCATTGATTTTGATTTTTTAGTTTCCCCATTTTTAAGTGTAATTTTTCTCCAGTAAAAATTAAGGGGTCAAAGATAGTCCAGGCTTCAACCCCACCAGTCTTTCATGAAATCATACTTTTCTCAGCAGAATCACATGTTTCCTTTTTTTTTCTTTTCTCTTTTTCTGCTTTAGGCTTCCCTACTTCTCAGTTGATTAAGGGGAAGAAAAAAAAAAGTTGAGAGGAAAAAGAAAATATATATATATATATATATATTTATATGTTGATTTTGTATCAAAAGAGCAGAATATTTTATATTTTTGATGTATCTGTAAATTGATGGAGAGCAATCCTAGTAGTTCTTCAAGAACTGACAGAAAAACTATAGAGAGAAACAGGAGAAATCAAATGAAAGTCCTTTACTCCAAACTCAACTCTTTACTTCCTCAAGAAACCTCTAGGGTTTAATTCTTTCTCCATCTCTTTTTTATCTTCCATTATAACTTCTCCATATCTTCTTCTCGTGTTTTGACATCAATTTAATTTGTCTTTGAAGGACCGAACTTCGCTGCCAGATCAACTCCAAGAGGCGACAAGCTACATAAAGAAGTTGCAGGTAAATGTGGAGAGAATGAAGGAGAAGAAAGATAGATTAATGGTGGGAATGGAGAGATTGGGATCCGCTGGGAGTAGCAGTGGTAACGGAAGTAATAGAATTGATGTTCATGTGACTGGTTCGATCTTGCAAGTGGTTCTGGTAACAGGATTGGATTCTCAATCCATGTTTAATGAAATCCTTAGATTGATTCATGAAGAGGGTGCTGAGATCGTCAATGCCAGTTTCTCTGTTGTTGATGATAACACTGTCCTCCACACGATTCATGCCCAGGTAATTCAGTAATATATGCATACACACGCACACACATATACATAGGAATTGTATGAAATATTAATGAGCATTTTATTTTGTTTTGGCAAGGAATGGTGTGATTAAATTTGATCATGGAGGATTTAATTTCTTTCTGTAAATATATGATGAAAACTTAAAATGTTGGATGTTTTTAATTACATTATTATATAGGTTGATCAGTCGGAACTGGGTCATGGTCATCATAAAGCTGCTAGGATTTCTGAGAGACTAAAGAAGTTTGTTCATGATGCTGACCATGGTGCATTTTGATCATGAAGAACAGCTAGTGTGTGTGTGTGTGTATGTTTAAGAACATGAGTGCTTCTTGGTTTGGATGGATATATATATATATATATATATATATATATATATATAAGTGTGGATTGTGATCACTAGTTATTTCCTTGATCTGTTTGCATGTATGTTTTCTCTTAGGATTCACTTTCCATGTTTATAAATTAATTAGATAAGTAATCTCTTCCCCTCATGCAATATTAACCAGCTAGCTAGTAATGAGAACTTTATATGTAAAAGAACTGTGCTTTTATATCTCCTTATAACAATCATTTAATCCTCAAATTTTTGTTTTTAGCTTCATTCAAGCTTCCTTGTAAGACTCCAAATATTATCCAATCAATTTTTCTTTCAAGCTTCTTCATCTACTGATAAAGGTGAAGTTCTTTGCTTCACAAATAATATTTCAATCAAAATTTCTTGTTCTAAGATGTTTTTAGACAAATGAAATCGATTTTCCTTTTCCCATTTCTTTATATCTAATCTCAAGTTCTTCAGCCTATTTAACATGACTCGAGTTTGAAAGCTAGATCCACCTCTTTCAACTCTCAACCACCATTTCCTTAGTACTTGATTCTTTGAGCCAATGGTTGAAAATCATAAAAGGTTTAGGTCTCAATCATCATAAATCAAGCTTAAAAGAAGTGAACAATCAACAAATATGGATTGGAGTAGACCTTTTAACATGTGATTTACAACAATATAGCAAAAATACCCAACATTTTATCAATTCTACTTAGATAAACCATTAAATAGTCTAATATTCTCTAATTTTTCGTATTAAAATCATTTCCATCAAACAATTTTATTAAGTTAAAATTTCTCAATAATAGCTAAAGGTTTCCTAATAATAGTCGAGTTAAGATTCATTACCTCAACAAAATCAAATACTAATAGAGAAATTATTTTCCTTAATGATCTGATTTCACATTCCTAAAGTTTTTGTACTGCTTAAATGTTTTAAACATTATTTATCAGTTCAATAAGTTTCGAATGTATTACAAGACTACACCTCACCCACTTTTTACTCTATTCCGAGGACTTAAAATCAAAAAGTAGAAGAACCTTACTCTTCTATTATATCAAACTTTCTAGTTTCTGATCCGACCATCCTTTATTGATGACTGTTTGTTCTTACTTGAGCAAAAGAATAATTGTCACAACCCCCTTTTATAGGATATGGCCAATGCATATACTTAATACCCTTATCGTGCATAAATAGAGATATTTGACAATTTTAGAATATTATAATTGTTGTCAATTCTCTTCTAACTCTTTTTAATTCTCTTTTTTCCTTTTCTGTTTGCTACTAAAATTATTCTTTCATTTCTTATATTACCTAAAGTCTATCATTCTACCAGTAATTTATTTTCAATTAATATGTAAACATTTAACCACTTAGTTGCTCAGAAAGCTTTAAATATAAAATTGTATCTAATAAAACATATATGAGACTTGATCCATTTTTTTATTTTCTAAAATAAAAATCTCTTATTTTCTCTGCTAGCGTGAAACTTGATCTAAACTCATTTGTATTCATGTATGTAATTTGTAGTCTTACTCTTGTTTGGATTTCTTGATTGCCCATATTCCTTCTTTGCTTCTTTGTAAGTGATCGATTTTCATCCTTCCTACATGTTCTCTCTTCTCTCTCAATCCCTTTCTCCCTTATCTTTCATTCTCTCTCACTTTCTCTTGCTCTATCTCTTTTGTTATATATATCTAGTTGAATATTTATATTAATCAATCACACACGTTTAACTAAAACTAGATTATAAATTAGATTTCATTTGAGTAGTATACATAT